GGTAAGTCCACTACAGGTTCACCATAGCCCGTGCTACTTGCCCCGCTCCTGTGCCAGGTAAGTCCACTACAGGTTCACCATAGCCCGTGCTACTTGGAACTTTTGGTTCCCAGTAGCTGAATCTGTAACAACAACAACCCTTGTAAGTAGATATTTTGCCTCAAGATCTGGACTAAAGATACTCCCTCGGTGCCTGGTGTTGGGTCTGGCAAGATCACCACCGTCTAAGGGTTGGCAGTAACTCTGCCTCGACTTCAACTTTGCATCTGTCAGCCTTAAACTAAACTACACCTGCCAAGCCTTCCTCTGTCTTAAAAGTCTGTCTAAGTCTTCTTGACTCGTGTGAAATGCTGACTCGTGTGAAATGCTTCCAGCATACAATGTTGCTGACACATTCAGTCCTGCCTAAATGTTGTCACACACACACACACACACACACACACACACACACACACACACACACACACACACACACACACACACACACACACACACACACACAGATATTAGAAAGACCTTTTTCAGTGTCAGAGTGGTTGACAAATGGAATGCACTAGGAAGTGATGTGGTGGAGGCTGACTCCATACACAGTTTCAAGTGTAGATATGATAGAGCCCAGTAGGCTCAGGAACCTGTACACCTGTTGATTGACAGTTGAGAGGCGGGACCAAAGAGCCAGAGCTCAACCCCCGCAAGCACAACTAGGTGAGTACACACACACACACACACACACACACACACACACACACACACACACACACAGATATTAGAAAGACCTTTTTCAGTGTCAGAGTGGTTGACAAATGGAATGCACTAGGAAGTGATGTGGTGGAGGCTGACTCCATACACAGTTTCAAGTGTAGATATGATAAGAGCCCAATAGGCTCAGGAATCTGTACACCAGTTGATTGACGGTTGAGAGGCGGGACCAAAGAGCCAGAGACCTAAACCCCCGCAAACACAACTAGGTGAGTACACTCTCTCAGTGTTTCCCTACGACACACCAACACACTCCCCCCCCCCCTCCGTGTGGGTGAGGCAGCCCCCTCACTACTAACTGTACCTGAGAAACCTTCCCACACTTGTTCCATAATTGGCTGGTCACCCTCCAAGTGTTCCTCCCCACCAACCAACCACAATAGTCTCTCAAGTGATGTGAGAACTTCTCCAACACCTCGCCCCAAGGGTGACCTCGTGACCCCTCAAGGATGACCTCATACGTCAAGGACAGGACAACAAGAGAGGACACTCAGAGGGAGAGGAAGACAAAGGACCGCCAGACCAACACAATAACACCACAAAGTGTGGAGATTGTCAAGAGAAAGTGAAGCCACAACGACAGGAGGACTCCATTACTGGACGTCTGTGGCAGATGTACTCCTTGTGACGCCCTCCTCCCCCTTCCCCCGTCCTGTCCGTCGCCTCCAACCTCGCCTGGGCGTGAGTGGGGGCGTGGGCGGGGGCGTGGGTCCCTCACCTCAGTATTAACAACGTTGGAGCTAAAGACCCCATTAACCCTCGACAACATGACATGGAGACCAAACTTCGGCGTGGCCAATATTATCCCTCAACCCCAGCCGGTCACGACGGGTAATTAGTAGAGGGCGGCGCAGGAGGGCGGCTCAGGAGGGCGGTACATGAGGGCGGCGCAGGGGGGGGCGGTACATGAGGGCGGCGCAGGAGGGCGGTACATGAGGGCGGCGCAGGGGGGGGCGGTACATGAGGGCGGCGCGGGGGGGGGGGGCGGTACATGAGGGCGGCGCAGGGGGGGGGGCGGTACATGAGGGCGGCGCATGAGGGTGGCGCAGGAGGGCGGCGCAGGGGGGGCGGTACATGAGGGTGGCGCAGGAGGGCGGCGCAGGGGGGGGGGCGGTACATGAGGGCGGCGCGGGGGGGGGGGGCGGTACATGAGGGCGGCGCATGAGGGTGGCGCAGGAGGGCGGCTCAGGAGGGCGGTACATGAGG